ACCCTTCAGGTGCATAGAACCAATTTTAACGACGTGACGGATTTTTTCAGATTTCAACATTCCGTCTCGTCTACCACGGGTCATTTTAGCCACGTTTAGAAGCTTCGTACCGTTAATCATATTATTATCAGCACGGCGAACCACAGAGACACCGTTGGCATCAACCTGGTAGCATAAAGTCTTCTCGTCTTCCCACATGGTAGTGGTGATCCTAGGGCGTACCCCTACAGGCTGAACCTGTCCAACAGAGGGAATTTGACCACTTTGAACTATAACAGACGTGTTATAGCCTGATGGTGCCGCTTGAGACTGCTGGTACAATGGAACGGAACCAGACGAACCGTAAACACCGGGGTAGCCAGCAGAATAGCCACCGTAACCATAACGGAAAGAATAGTCTGCCTGTGCCTGCTGAGAGGGCTGGGGCTGCACTGCACCTTGGGTCTGCTGTTGCTGAGACTGCTGCTGTTGTGGAGTTGCCGTAGCACTGATAGAACCCTGCTTGTTCTGCTGGTATACAGGCTGTTGGTAACCCAATTGGGAGTACGAGTAGTAGGGGTATTGTTGGTTTGTTGCACTGGGGGTAGAACCTGATGCAGCTGAAGCAGCAGCGGCCTGTTGTTGTTGTTGGGCATAACCTTGGGGCTGGTAATACTGTTGAGGCTGGTAGTACTGGTAGTCCTGCTGCTGTTGGTAGTAGGACCTAGAAGGCGTGCTTTGTTGATTCGTGGTGGAGTAACCCGTGCCCGCATACTGAGGGTATGGGAGGTGTTGTTGCAATTGGTGGGACTGCTGAGATTGAGGCTGTGATTGCTGAACCTGCTGGTGACCGGCTTGCCCTATCTGGCCAGTCTGCTGAGAGGTATTCGCAGACCTGGCGATCTGTGAGTGTCCTCCTGAATCCCCCTGGACACCAGAGCCAGGAGAACCATTGATCGAAGCCTGCTGATTGGACGAGCCAGAAGGGATAACCCCAGCAGCATTGGAGACGGAATTAGGAGTTGCGCCGGACGTGGCTCCTGAGGGCCCTGAAGGATTAGTAGAACTCATCTAAACGAAAAACAAATGAACAAACAAATGCAAATTGGAAGCGAAGGAAGAGAAAAAGTGGATTTGCCGTACATATGCATGTCTATATACGGTGCAAGCAGTACGATTGAACAGTGCGGTCCTCATGCGAGACTGGGGCGTTAATAAAAGGATAGGTGTCAAGACCACTTTTGGGACTGTTTTTTTTTGTTGGTGCACGGGGCGAAGGGAGGGGTCGCATTTTCCCTCAAGACGACTTTACAGCGTACAGAATGTTGTAATGAGTGGTTCCGATTGGGGTCGGGGCGGTTCGATGTGCATGGGCCACGATTAGTTGACACTAGAATCTGACCGTTCAGTCCGATTTGTTGTAGAGAGACTGCACGGCTCGGTTGCATCCTATTATGCACGATGGAGAATCTGGTGGTAGGCAGTGAGTACGTCTCAATCTTCCGTATGTGCAGAGAATATCAGCAAGCTGTGCTTGCAGGGCTAATCGCAGTAGGCGTCACCTGCTTGGAAGGAGCGAGTGTAGACTACGTAGACTACCTACTTAGCGGGGAGAACTCTTCCAAGGCTTTTCAGTACCCATGCTTCTCTGGCCCTGGCCAGTGGTTTAGAGAACTTAGCTTATACGTAATCGTTTGCTATTTATTTATTAGAACCCTCCCATGGTGTCCGTTCGCTTCCTTCTAAAGTTGATCTCCTCCCAGGACACCTACCAATCGATTCAGTCCCAAATTGTAAGCAACCCCGCCAAATTTGACGACACTTTGGCCACGTTTCAGTATGGATCTTTATTGGTAGCAGGGATACTCAAGAAGGTCCAACACTCCAAGGATTCCTCGGCTTATTTGGACAAGGTCTACCAATCATTGAGAGCCATTTTCTACTATTTCCAAGACTATCGTATCGTTTCTAGATGTTGGTCTTTGATCCCGTTGTTGGCCTCTCTTTTAAGACAGCTTAACAGCAAACCAAGCACCTCCTACTCCAAACTCATGCCATTGGCTCAGACTGTAGCGTTGGTAATATTTCAAGCGTTGGAGAATTATGCGGCAGTACTAAGCCACAATTTCCTGTCCCTTCCAAACTTTGACTTGAACGACCCAAAAGATCAGCAATACAACACCAAAGTGTACCGGTTATCCTACCGTTTCTGGGCCCTCTACGTCCTTTTGGAGCTAGCTGACATTTCTAGGACGATTCTCCGTCCAAATACAGCTACAACTCTCAGGTCTTCACTCAATCTGGCCAAATTGAACCCAATTGCAATCAGACTTTACAATAACTTGGGATTCCTCCCATTGACTTTCCACTGGTCCACATCGGGCTTCTTACCGGAGACTCTCATTGGTCTTTTTGGATTTGTGGGCTCCGGCGCCCTAGCCTACCCTCACTGGGTTGGCTTATCTAAGCACTTAACATCTACAGTGAATTAACGAAGGACAGCGGCTCAGCCTGTCTTTTTCCTCTTGCTCCCACAACTACGACGATACGCCATGATTAGACTACTCTGCCTAGCGTTAGACCTTGTTTGGATGGTATTTGGAGGTATATTTCTCCCCATCCTCCTTCAGTTCTCTACGGACCCTTTGTTTTCCACAAACATACCTCTTTCTGGAGACGACGCCCAGCGGTTTCTGACCTCTTTACCTTCCACTTACTACCCGTCCAACGCAAGTTTGCAAGGTGACACAGACTACTACCAGGTGTATTTACATGTCTACCCTGAGCAATTGTATCTTGCCTTTTTGGACTCCCCTTGGGATGTTAGCTCTCTGTCGACTTCTCTCTTATTCTCCAACTGTTGCGATATTTACACTCTCAACGCTGTGACTTCAGTCTTTACAGAAAGGTTAAATACCACGCTGGACCTTCTTCCATTCATAGTCAGGAGGACCGGGAACAGCCTCTCTTCCACGCAAGTCGTTGCAGGGCTGTCGTTATCCACCTCAATTTCTCTGGTCGTTCTCAAAAGATTGTACAAGAAGATTCCCAAAATTTGCATGACCCTTCTCTACGTTGCCCAGTACTGTCTCATGTGGGCTCAACTAGCTACTGTTATCCGCGCTCAGCTAGTACCGGTAACTTACCTTATGGCATATATTTCATTGCTGTCTCTACTATCCTTGGGCTCATTCTACCTATACTCCATCAACCGTCATATTTATCCAGCCTAGGCGGTCATAGATACTTCGACTGCGGATATATGGATCGACGTCTATGTAGTTCTGCGCCAGTTTCTTGCCCAAAGCTATTTTCTCCTGCAGGTATCGTCTACTCTCATCCTGAGTGGTAGATTCAACCCATTTGATTGTGGTTTCCAGGAACTTCTCCACGATTTGCTCTCTCTGAGCCAACATTTTCTGTTTGGTGTTCTCATCCCCGATCACTCCATTATCTTTATCATTGGGCTCCAAATATTCCCATTCATAATCGTCTTCACCTCCAAGGGAAGCAGGGATATGTTTCGGCTCGATATACACCGCCAGCTCCTTGAAGTTCTTAGTAAAGTGGATCTTGGAAGCCACCACTGGATCAAGCCAGTTCTTGATGATATTCCAAATACCACTGAACAGCCAAGGTGCCTTGTGCACAAACAGCACTCCTAGAGACTCAGGGTAATGAGCTTCAAAACACTTAATCATGAATTTCACCGGTGCATAGTCCATATTAGACATCGAAAAATCTGTGAGGTCAAAAATGATTGAACAAGTGTCCACTGGGTCGTTCAGAAATAGACGAGCCCATTCGATTAAAAGTAATGTGAAATGCTGCATCTCCTCCTCGGTCTGATCAGAAGCATGGTGTAATTTAGGGCGTACGTGGACTAATGGACGACCCTTGCGGTCATAACCACGAATATATGCCTTCCCCAATTCCAACTGCAACATGAACCCAGTCATCCCTTTATTGTAGGGCACTAACTCACCGTCTTGAAGAAGTTTATCTACATGGCTCTCGCAAACTCTCCACTGTAACGTGCCAGCCAACATGAGCAATGACTTATCAACGTCCCATTTTCTGGCTCTAATGAAACGTAGCAGCAGGTTATCTGGCGTGTCGTGTCTCAAAAAGTCCCAGAATTTCTCCTTCAGCTGTTTTGGGTCCTGGTCTTTGAAACTTTCATGAATTTTCATCTCGGTTGACACGAGCACATTTGGATCGTTTGCCGAGGCCAAAGAGGAAGTTCTCTTCAATTCGTTTTGATCAATGCTTCCCTTGCGCTTTCCGCCCAGCTTCAGACGGAACTTGCTCTTTTTCGATCTGCCACTGCTACTAGTCCCGGACGATCCTGGAGCTGTTTTGGAGCTACTGCCCGAATGTGTGGAGGACATCGTGAGAGACCTCTCCAACTTGTACTTAGAAGCTAAGGCGAAGTTGTACCCCCAGAAGTGCAAAAAATATGCCCATGTTTCTTTAAGGATGTACTCTTCTTCGAAAGAGAGTGTTTCTACCCTACCTGAGGGGAATGCCTTGGTCATATTAAATGTCTGCAGTTACGAATGGCAACTTTTTCGAAAATGGAAAGTTCAACTCAAGCTTTCCTGTAGGTCATCGTCGTGTGCCGGTCAAACCTCATATTGTTTATATTAGAGGGCCAGCTATATAGAAATTGCCGAGGGTGATAAGACCACTTGGATTCTTCTGAGTGAGTTTGAAATTAGAATGGGAGTCGCCAAACTCGACCACTATCATCTTGGGGCCGTTAATGGTTCAACTTCTTCTTCTCGGGATTTAAAATTCATCGTAGTAAATAGCTGAACATACAACGGCCTCCTGTAAGGAAAATAGTATTCCAATGGGTCAACCTTGACACTGAACTTGAGAGGGGAAAATTTCAACAGTAAACTTCAATCAACAAAGTTATCATAGACAGGGCTATCAGAGAATTACAAAATATATTCTTCTTTAAACTTTTCCTTTTTTGCCTCATATAGACATTAACACTTCACTTGCTTTAGTAAGGCACTATGGCCGAGTGGTTAAGGCGAAAGACTCGAAATCTTTTGGGCTCTGCCCGCGCAAGTTCAAATCCTGCTGGTGTCGTTATTTTTTTTTTTTGTTTTAAAGCTGGGACCACCAGTTTTCATGAACCCTTAAACATTGCAGAAGAATCCTGGAAAGAATCTCCCCTCCCGTCACTATCAAACCAAAACTCACCTACTCCAGCTATTCCTGTAATACAAAACATCCTATCGCCTCTTGCCCCTCAAAATATGGGTGTTACACTACTATCTTGTTTGTTTCTTCCCCAGCGAATCTTAACGTGTATTGCAGTTTTTTTTTTAACACATCAATAAACCTACACAGTGAACTCTTGTTGTGTACCATAGCTAGCCCCGCTACCAACGACACAACTCATGTCACATCTACACATACCCCCACTAAGGTCGAATGCAAGCTCGTCATTGAGTATCCAGCAGATGAGGACGCCTAGTGCTCCCATGGCAGCTGCTCCTTTGATCATGAACAAACAAGCAGACGCGGAAGAGTCGCTCTATTTCATAGCCCTAAAGCTGAAGAGCAGACTCGCAAAGATATCCGGAATGCTCAAGTATTTGAACCTGGCGGCGACATCCACAGAATTAACTTCTGAAAGACAAACCATGATGCTGGCACAACAATTGTCGGAGAGTAAGCTGGGTATGTATTCTTCAAGTGGCGCTGGAAATCGCAACAGTAACGGCCTAGACTTTGTTGACAGCAGGCGAAGCTCGTCCACCAACAACGGAAGTATCTCCAGCACTAGGAATAGCAGTGGCTATCAATTATCAAAGACAACTACAAACACAACAACATTGGACTTCAGCTACGGATCGTCTTCACTACAAACCTTTGTAGCAGGAATCTTACCTGCTCAATCAAGTAGTGATCCGGTGACCACAATTTGGAAACTGTTTCAACAAGGAGCTCCATTATGTCTTTTATTTGATAGCATTAAACCGGGGATCGTCAAGGTAGTTCCAAGTGATGAATTGAAAATATGCAAGATGAGTATTTATGAGTTTCTCTCTGCTTGTCAGACCCATTTAAGCTTGGATGGCGTGGAACTTTTCACGGTGACTGACGTATTCACCAATGACACGAACAGTCTTTTGAAGATTATCCAAGTGGTCAATTTTCTCTTGGATAAATATTCCAATATAGTCGCCGAGCCCGTTGATGCAGAGTTAAAAGTATCCGATGCTCGTTCCAAAGTGGTCAGAGAGTTAGTAGAAACTGAGAGAAAGTATGTCCTTGATCTTGAGACTTTGCTGAAGTACAAAACTGAGCTAGAGAGAAAAGAAGAAATATCTCTGGAGGCTATAAGAAACATGTTCCCTAGTTTAAACGAAGCTGTTGATTTTCAAAGGCGCTTTTTAGTAGGACTAGAGTGTAATGCTGCCGTTCCAGACAGATACCAGCGGATAGGTTCTGTGTACCTGCATGGCGCATTGAATGCGTTCAGGTTATACGAGACATGGGCAGTGGGACAATATTCTTCGATTAGATTCATTCAAAAGGAGATTACCAGTTTGAGAAAGTCATCCACGTTAATTGATGCCAACTATGAGCTGCAAAGTTTCTTGATCAAGCCTATTCAGCGATTGTGCAAGTATCCTTTACTTTTGAAAGAACTAGTCAAGTTAACTGACGAATCTTTCCCTAATTACAGAGAACTCTGCACAGCTTTAGAGTACTCAAAGATTGTGGCCCATGATATCAACGAAGCCCAAAGACGTGCAGAAAATGCCGAACTGGTCAAGGATCTGATCACAAGAGTAAAAACATGGAGAGGCTATGATATATCTACCTTTGGAGATCTCTTATTCCACAGCAACCTTACTGTCATTGATTCAGACACAGAAAGAGATTTTAAGGTATATCTATTTCAAACTATATTATTATTTTTCAAGGAAGAAATGCCCCCATTACAGACCAAGAAGTCGATGCTATCCACGAGGAAAAAATCCTCCGCCTCCCTCGCAAGTTCCTCACATCAGTCTTTACCCAATGGATCCCAATCATCTTTGGGCGGAGTTCCTCCCAGTGAGCTTATTCTGAAAGGTAGAGTATTTGTCGCTTATATCACAAACATTTCAACAACTAGTAGCACACAACAGGGTCATTGTATGGCAGTAACCTGGTCAGGGAACAAAGACTCTGGAACTTTTGTGATGAAGTTCCGTTCAGACGAAACTAGAGGTCAATGGGAACAAACACTACGAAAACTCTCTTTGAAAAATGAAGAACCAAGTTATGCTACTAAACGACTATCAAGTCAAGACATATTCAAATTGAATCTTGGCAGGCAAAGATCAGAATCCACAATGTCCAATGGGTCAGCTCACAAGATGGGTGTTAACGGGTTTACACCATCATCGTTGAACTCAATGTCTACAAATTCTTACTTTGTTCCACCATCAAGTCTTCATAGTCTTTATCAAGATGATATGGTAAAGAGGTCAGTATCATCTCCCAATTCTGTTGTCAGTACTGCAACTACTTTGAGTAGGAATCACTCAGTTTCTTCAATGTTCCCGGATATTAATACTTACAACAGTTCGTCAACTACGAACTCTAAACATAAAAATGAACGAGAAACAGAAATTCGCATCAAATTAGTTTACGATAATGATCCTACACATCTTTCTGTCCCTTCCAATATTTCATTTCATGAACTGAAATTGGAGCTAATCAAAAATCTTAGACAAAATGTTGCCTACGAGCTGCCAGAATATGAATCTTTCAGGTTCAAATTCAAAGACGAAGATGATGACTATGTGCGTTTCCAAAGTTCTGATGATTGGGTGATAGCCAAGGAAATGTTAGAGGAAATAAGCGATGAAGAGCAGAGAATACTGGAAATTGTCTGCCAGAGCGCCAAAATATGAGTGAACTATGAAATTTCTAAATGTATGTACAAGCTATAGTACTCAAAAATATCTATTTGCCGAGCACGAAGCTCATCATTTTTGGTTTTATAATAATTCTTTTGACTTCTTTGGACCCTATGTGCTTTTGCCCATTCTCTGTCCCTAGGACAATATCTAATACCTCAGTAGGGTCCTTCACTACTAGAGATTTGTCGCCACTGAAGACAAATCTGACTTTTCCGTTAATCATGACACTAAAGTTCATCTGAGTATTCTCTATGCGGGGTTCCACCTCGGGCCAATCTGCTTTCAGAATGGATTGCCATGGTATGTTTTGCTTGGCCAAAAGGATCTCATTGGCTTCTTCACTTGTCACGGGGGCCACTGGCGACATTATAGTTAAAAGTTTCTCCAATGAAGACTTTAATAGTGAGATGCTGACCTGTGGATCATTGACATTATCGGCAATGTTGTTTGTAAGCTTCATGTAATCAGATATAACAGTATTCAGAGATAAACTATAACCGAAAGAATCGGTCACAGAGCCAATATAATCTTGAACGTTATTGAATAACTGAGTCTCCTTCGCGTTGAAATCTTCGTTTGACTTGGCTTCTTCTGGTTCTTTTGGGGATCTCTCTCCGATAGTTTCTGCAAGAGAAATAACCTTGTTGAGCCATCTTTGAACGCCAACAATCTTACCTTCATCCCAGTTCAGAGTATCTGTGATTGGGGCTTGGAATAAAATATGGGCTCTCGTAGCATCAGCTCCATACTTCTGGATACATTCTGCAGGATCTGCTCCGTTATGCTTTGATTTGGACATTTTCTCATAAGTTATTTCAGGCTCAACAGTTGTTCCCTTAATGAATACTTTGGAGCCAGAAAAGTCTAACTCATGCTTTTGAAGGAATCTTCCGGTCTTGGGCTCTATGAACGTTTTACCGTGAACCATTCCTTGAGTTATAAGACGCTTAATTGGTTCTCCGTTGGTGTGATCACCACCCCAAGCTTTGATATCATGAAGGAACTTGGAGATAAATCTGGAATATAAAAGATGCAAAATGGCATGCTCCACACCACCAATGTATTTGTCAACCGGCATTAGACTATCGGCAAGTTCTTTGGAAAACATTTCTTTGTCGTTCGTTGGATCAGTGTATCTCAAAAAGTACCACGAGGAATCCATGAAGGTGTCCATTGTATCAGTATCTCTTTTAGCATCAGACCCACATTTAGGACATTTACAATTAACAAATTCCTCAAGCTGACCCAACGGCGAACCACCTTTACCGACCAAACCTTCCACTTGTGGTAGCAGGACTGGCAAATCCTCATCAGGAACAGGTACAACTCCACAAGAATTACAATGAATGATTGGAATCGGAGCTCCCCAATATCGTTGTCGACTAATCAACCAATCTCTTATTCTGTACTGTTTAGTTTTGTGACCCAAACCTTTAGCTTCCAGGTCCTTGACGATAGCCTCTTGAGCTTCAGGAACTGTCAGTCCTGCGTACTTTCCAGTATTCTCATTCAGTCTTCCCTCTTTAGGTCTAAATGGAAGGTCAACTTCAACGGAACTATCTGCAGGCACCACTGTTGGCTTAAATTCAGCAGAGTCCCCAAACTTGTCCACCCAAAATTCGTAATCTCTAGCATCATGGGAAGGACAACCCATAACACAACCAGAGCCATAGGATCCAATGACATAAGGAGCAGCATACACGGGGATAGCATCGCCATCGGGGTAAGGGTCAAGTGGGTTTTCTGCAAACAGTCCCAAGAAGTAGCCATCTTTGGTGTCAGGTTCAGTAGTGACATTTGATTTGCTATTTGAATGTTTGCTGACAAAATCTTGAAGAGAAATGTCCACGAATGATAGCTCTTTAACGATAGGGTGATCAAGTGCCAAAGCCAAGAACTGAACACTATGTAGGGTGTCTGGTCTAGTCGTGAAACATGTTAAAACATCCGAGTCAACGGTAACCAGCTTACTGCCAATCAGCTTAAAGTCAATATTTGCACCCTGGCTTTCTCCAATCCAATTCCTCTGCATAGTTTTAACGCTATTTGGCCACTCTTTCAAAGTGTCCAAGTCCTTATTCAAGGCCGAAGCATAATTCGTTATACCTAAGAACCATTGTTCTAGTAGCCTTTTTTCCACAAGAGCACCAGATCTCCAAGATC